ATAGAATTTTTAACTAATTTAGTCATCAAACTAACTTCTCTATGGAGAATTTACAAGAAATTAAGCCAAACCTAGCTGTTAAGGAATGGCAGAGCTCATAGAAAAGAGGAGGAAAATATTAATTTTGCTCTACTTAAACTGGACTAAGAAGTCTGCTAATCTGAGTACTACAGACAGATATTTAAAGAGATTCAGATGATGCTTCTGGTACTATTTTCCTCCCTATGATAAAGCATTATATGTACAGTATTTATTCTCTGAGCCATTTTACAGGATGCAGCTTTTCCCAATACAGAGCAAGAAAAGAAAAATCAAACTTACCACTGTCTAGCTATTTTTGTATTTTTCTAGAATAGCAGTTTAAATCCCAGATAGCAATATTAATGCTTTAAACCAATTTGCTCCCTAAAATCTTTGACCACAGGAAAAATTGTGACGAAAACCAGCCAGTACTTTTTTTTTTATCCATAGTATGAGCTATCAGTGTGCACCCAGCAGCAAGTATGTTTGAAATGGAAGCTTTTCATAAAAGTAAAGCATACCTCAATATTATTTTACTCATTGCTACCTGGCAGTGCCCTGAAGAGGGAGAGGGGGGCAAATACGGGCTATTTGTACGTATCTTTATATGTATGTGTAAAGCTTGATATACTGTTGACAAGAACTAGCATTTTAGAGGCAGTATAGCATGTCTTAAAAGCCAGAAGAACTACTTGTGAAACTATAACCTCTAAAATAAGGCCAAAGTTTCTGTCACATAGGGCTGCTGGCTACACAAGTGCTGCTTCAGCAAACTGAAGTTACTTGTGGGCTGTTTTAACTTCCAGTGTGCTTCTTGTTTCTTCCAAGTTCTTATTTTTTAAAATTCATTCCTGTTTATTCCTCCTATATTTGGATATATATAACCTTCTTTTTCCAAACACATGGTATTTTCCAAGATATATGCCAGATTCTAGAGATAACTACTACAGTGTATAATTTGATCTTTTGATCTTCTCTTAACACTTTAAAATTCTAGTAAAAGATAAAACATATGGGCTAAATCAGCTAAAAACACAGCTTATAAATCAATGTCTGTTCAACTGTGGAAGTTTTGAATAATGTGCTTTCAATAAACATCTGTTGGATGCAGTTGACATAATACAAAAATTCTTAACCCCCTAATTTTTAAAGAATTTTTTGTTGAATATAGTATCCTGTGGCAGTGCTGCACATAAAACATTTAGTTAAATGAAAACAAATACTGTACTGCATGAAAACAAATACTGTACTGTAGTCACAAATTATGACATTAACATGCCAAAAGGCTTCCAGTAAACATTAGAAAGACAGAAGTACAAATGGAAATAGGAATCCTTGGAATGTAATGAAAGGTGGTATTATAAACTCCTCAGAACTTGCAAACTGGAACAAGAATTGTAGTTGTTCTGTTTATGTCTTACATAATAACTTGGTATACTAGTTGCTAACCTTACTGAAAGCTATACAACAACATTTTTCAACACAAAAATACAAACAATATAAAAGTATTTTTCTCACAACAATTAAAAAAAAAGGAAGGAAAAAAAAGACTGCCTTTTCTCCTTTTGTTTAGGTGGGCTGATCTCCAGAAACACCAAACACTTGCAAACAGTCAGTACCTATAAAGATCGAGCTGGAAAAACCTGTGCTCTAAAAGAAAGAGGCAAATGGATTAGGCTGTATTCCTTCTGCATGAAATCAGCCTCCTAATGTGTGTGAACAAGAAAATAAACCTTTGAAGTCCTGCAAAATGCATGGGAAAACAGTAATTGTTACTTTTGCATCCCTGAAAAATTTACTCTGGAATTAAAGAGCTTTTGCTAAAAACTATAATAAACCTTTGAAGTCCTGCAAAATGCATGGGAAAACAGTAATTGTTACTTTTGCATCCCTGAAAAATGAGGCACATATACTCTGGAATTAAAAAGCTTTAGCTAAAAACTACTGTAGTGCTAGAAGCCAGCTCTTCTCCTTGCCAAAGTAAATGCAGTAAATATGGAATACAGAGCAATTTCTGTAAAAATGTCTCATCACTGTTCCCTTTCAATTAGTTTCAATATAGGTAGTCTGTTAAATTACAGGAGAAAGAAATACTTACAGAGGGATCAATATCAATTCACTGGTGGCTGATTTAAACAAGCTGCGTTCATATCACTTCATTTTAGGAATGTAAGGGTAGGATTCCTAAGTGCACTGCATTAGCTGAAGTTTCCCAGGTGAGTCAGGGGTGTCTTGCAGGGCTGGGTCAGTGATGTGTGCTTTGGAATGTCAGCCTCAAAATACACTTAAAAAAAAGACAGAGATACCCACCCACACACAAGTGCTGTCAGGAAGGAAGCAGTGGGACAAGGCAGGATTTTGTGGCACCTCTTTCCATGTCCATGACACATAACCTTTTCTTCTCAGGCAGGACATCTCACAAACATGTTTTAGATAAACAGACATTTCTCTCTATGCAAAGGTGGCAAAGCACTGAACACTATTACAGTGCTGCTACTACATTAAAATGATGTTGACTGTTTTATAGTGTATAACATTTCAACATGCAATACTTGGAAAGAAAATGGTAATCAATAAGCTGATGATGGTACAGATATTTACAAAAATCAGACACTTCACTAGCAAAAAAATTATTGTTGGAAAGCTACCAGTATATTATATAGACTTGTTAGTCTAAATATTACCATCATAGCATGAGCTGGCTATCCAAGATTCTTATGGAACAGCTGCATCTGTATGGATTTCTATACTTACATAAGGGAATGAGCAAAAAAAAATCACATTAATTTCAGAGAGGAAATAGGCCTACTCAAAATCAAAAAGTGTCACGAAACAGAACAGTACTTCTAGGCACAGGTAAGGGAAGGAGTGTGATTTCTGCTCTTAAATATCTTTGTAGTCAAATTAAAATTTAAATATATTCTGAAAGTCTCTGTGGAATGAGAAGAAAAAAAGTCCTTTATCTAGGATAATGAGATGGCTGACTAAAACACCAGACTATTTTGCATCTTAATGTCAGGCAGAATATTTATACTGAAAAGCCTCTTGCTATGTAAAGTTCCCCTTCATGAGATGGATTAATGGAAATTTAGAGCTGTAACAAGACTAAAGATGGATAGGGTAAAGGCTTCTACAGTTGTCTTTTTTTCCCTGGCTTATAAAGAGTTCAATAAGGTCAATACAATTTGAGTAAGACAGATTATATTTATTTCTTCCAAATCTCAAAAGCATGCCATTATTATTACTTTTTTTGCAAATACATTTGGCTTTCCAGACTGGAAATGCTTATGAAATTTCATGAGAAATCAAAATTCTCTGTGTAAAATTAAGGAAGGTTATTTTTATGGATAATGGAAGACTTACTGCAATTTTCAAATAGCAAACATGACAGTCCACTACAGTGAGAAAATAAAAGTAAAAACTGATCTATTTGTTGAGATGGGCCTTTCGTTGTGGAGTATGTAGTTCTAGTACAGGGACTACTCTTATATGAATCATTCAGAAAGCTGAGAGAGTAGCTCCCCAGAAGAAAATGCAGTATTTACATAGCACTGTGTCTTAAGCAGTTATACATGACATATATGTAGACCTACTCTCAAAATATATCATCATTGCCAAGAACTACTTTTGACAATATTCTTCCATCCTCCACAGGGAGATTTGCTTTCATAGCTCAGCAAAGACTGCCATAGCTTTTGAGCTATGCCACAGACATTAAATGACAGTCAAAAATCAGTAATGAGTCCAGAAAGCATAATGCAAACAGTGAAAGTGAATGCTGTCACAGAAATTAGATGCAAGCCTCCACACACAAGTTGGCCTGGAGCTGGGACCCCGACCAACCCTTCCAGACAGTCCTCTCACAACTCCACCAGCTGCAGGAACAGCTGCTGAACACTGGAAAAAACAAACCAGCTTTGTGTGGAATGAGGATATAGACTTAAAATAGGGTAAGTTGTTCAGAAAGCTGCAGTTGCAAGGGTTTTTGCTATGATGTCCTCCTCTAAGAGCATGCCATATCTGTGTGCACTAGGCAAGCCTGCCAGGTGCCCAACTGCTGGTGTCACAGAATCACTGAATTGTTAATATTGGAAGAGACCTCGGGGGATTGTCCAGTCCAACCCCCTGCCAAGGCAAAGTCACCCAGGGCAGATCATACAGGAGTGTGTCAAGGTGGATTCTGAACATCTCCAGAGAGGGAGAGTCCACAATCTCCTCGTGCAGCCTGTTCTAGTGCTTTGCTGCCCTCAGTGTGAAGTTCTTCCTTGTGTTGAGGTAGAACTTCTTGTTTTAATTTATGGTCATTGCTCCTCATCCTATGGCTGGGCACCAGTGGAAATAGCCTGGCACCATCCTCTTGGCACGCACCTTTGCGATATTTATATGCTTTGATGAGATTCCCCTCAGTCTTCTCCAGACTGAAGAGGCCCAGTTCCTGCAGTCTCTTCTCATAAGAGATGCATCCAGACCTAATCATCTTTATGACCCTCTGGTGGACCCCCTCCAGTATGATAGGGTAGGGTGTTTTCAAAAAGCTGCTGTTGGGAGGTTTCGCTGCGATGTTTTCCAAGAGCACAGCACCCTCGTGTGCAGCAGGCAAGCCTGTGGGGTGTGGGAGGCCGCCCTCCCCTGCCGGGCTCCAAGGCAGAGCGCGGGACAAGGCTGGGCTGGGCACGGCACCTCAGCCTATGCCTTCCCCTCCACCCGGGGCACCACGGCTTCGTCCCGCCACATCTGCACCGCGGGGCGGCTCGGGGCAGCCCCTGCCTCCGCCGGGGCCACAGCCGCTCTGCGCCCGCCCTGAGGGGAACCCTGTCCCGCCGAGCCCGCTCCCTGCGGAGCCCGCACCGAGCAGCCCCGCTCGCCGTGCCCTCCCCGCCATGGCGGCCACAGGCTCCTCCCGGCATTCCCGGCACTTCCCGACCGCGCCGCCTGGAGACGGCCGCCGGGGCGGGGCGGGGAGGAGCGGGGCGGGAAGGGGAGGATGCTGCGGCCGCCGCGGGGCGAGGCGGCGGCAGCGGCGGCGGGAGTAGCGGTACTAGCGGTACTTGGCGGCGTAGAGGATGCGGCGGCGGTGGTGTCGGCAGCAGCAGGCGGAGGAGCGGGGAGCGATGCGGTGCTGCGCGGCGGGGCCGTGGCCGCACAGCGCCCTCACCACGCTCCTGCTGACAGGTCGGTCACGGCGCGTCTCCCCGCGGCGAGCGGTGGCGGGCCCCGCCGGCAGCGGCCGGCCTGCGCCGCGGAGCTGCCGCTGCTCGGGCTTCGCGTCCCCTCCCGGCGGAACCGCCCCCCGCCTCGCCCTCCGGCTGCGGCTCGCTGCGCGCCCCACTGCCGCCGCTCCGTGCCCCCTGTCAGGGCGGGGGCCGGGCTGTCCCAGCATCCCCCCATGCCGCGGCTCCGGCGGCTCCCGGAGGACGCTGCCCAGGCGGCGCGGGGATGGCGGCCTGCGCGCCCCCGCCCCAGGACCGCCGCAGCCCCTCCCGGCGCGGCGGGGCCCGGGCTGAGGGAGCCCGGGGGCGGTGGGTGAGGCCGGAGCGGGACTGCCGGCGTGCCGCGGCAGCCGGGCCTGGCTCAGAGCCGCTGGATGGCGCGGGAGCCTCCGCTCCCGGGGGCTGGGCCGGGCCCGCTGCGCTCCTCCGCTCCCTCGACCTGGTGCCTGGCTGCTGTGTGTACGGGGGTGTCTTTTGTGTTACCCTTCTTCTCCGTTATTTCCCATCTTGACCACTTAGTCCAACCGAGCCAGAATTAGGAATTCAGAAAAAGTCTTAATCCTGGTCCCTAAAAGCTAAATAATAGCTTTCATGCAGTAGGCAGGTTTTTCACCTACAAGGTTCTTCACAGTGAAATACATCAAACAGCTAACACTTAATCACAGCCCAGCCACAGGACTGCCTTTGTGAGACTTGTTACACCACAAGTTAACAGCAGGAAATCTATTTGGGTTTTTTTGATTTCTGAGAGGTCAGTGGTGAGTTATCTGCAAGCAGTCTGCTCTGTATCCTCTTGAACAATGTCTAGGTACCTTCCTAATACTTCTTTTACTTACGACCATACTTGTCATAGGTTATTAGCAGCAGAATTGACATGAGGCACTGGATATGTTAAAGATGTGGTAAGAACTTCAGTGTGAAGTTGTTCAACGTGAGGATAAAACTTCATTTGTAAGATGCAAGACGCTGCTTTTCCCTCACGTGGAAATTTTTCCTACCTCTTCTGCCTTCCACTTCATGACTGCTTGTGGGATAGCAACCAAGGAAGAACTAGGACAATTGAGAATAAGCTTTCAGTATTAACTGAAATAATGTATTTTATAAAGGTCTACAAAATAACCTTTTAGAAACTGAGTTGTGAGCTTAATCCACAAGTCCTTTCCAGGCTATGTGGTAAGGGAAGAGGTCTTAAAGTTTTTTCATTACAACTTTTCCACTTAGACCTTTCTAAGGTTGGTTCAGAGAGATTTCTTTAGTTAAAACAGAAGAATACATGGTTTGAAACTGATATAAAAAAGGGGGCATGAACTTTAGTTCAGTTACATTCTTTTAAGAGATATCTATATAAAGTTTATTATTTGACAATGTGGAGATTTGTAGTATGTTCCTGGTCTGAATGAAGCTGTCCTAGGAGCTCACCTGAGCTCTCCTCCATTCTCCCTAAGTAAAGAAGTTCCAACCTTGTCTGCTGGCTCCAAGATGCATTGCCCAGCATGAAAATCCATTCTTTTGAATCCTGATCTTAAGTAAACTCTACAGGACTGCAGCATTACTTAACAAGGCAAGAGACATCTGACAGAAACAATGGCATGTGAGAAGTAGTACAGGACTTGTGAATAGATTTCTTTTAGTTCTCCTCAACTAATATGGATTAGTTTTTCCCATTTGTGTTGTAGCACTTGATATACAGAAGAAAGTTGACTTACGATTTTTGCTTTTCTTAAAAATGTATAAAAAAGGCTTTCTGGAGGAAGAGAATTGCTGTCAGAAGCCAGAAGGGTTGTCTGCCTTTCACTTCTCCCTGTCCTCCTTGAGGCAAAACATTATTCCATCATCTGGGAATGTCAGGAGAATGAAGAATTTAAAGGTTGTAAGACTGATTTTAGATGCTCCTAGGAGTCTGGTATAGTACTCAAACTGAAGGTGTGGACTCCCAAATGCAAGCTGATGATACTCCACTGCTAGGAAAACACGGGACTTCATTGTGAGAAGTGATATATAGGATTAAGCATTTCTACTAGAAAATAGTTAGGTGTTCTTTGACTCTAGCTTTATAGTAACAGACTTCCTAGAAGTTTGCTCAATTACTCTGGTAGAGCTGTCTGTCATATTAGTTTGGCAGAGCAATGAGTTGCACCCATATTGTATATCTGCAGAGAAGCAGTTATCAAAACTTTGTTTGAGTGACTGTGGCCAGTGATTTTGCCTGGTGTTTCTGAACTTAAAATTAGTTGTCAGTGCCCATGTTGTCCCTGGAACCCCTTTTTCATCCCAGGAATAGGGAGTTGTAGAGCAATGGGGTTGCATTCTCCTTTCCCTGTAAAGGGGTCAAAATGAGGAAGGAGCTCATTAGTTCTCACTTTGCAAGCTGTGGTTATGTGGTCACATTAATTTGTCATAAGGCTGCACTGCTGCCAGAAAGCATTCTCCAGCCCTTGCACAGCTAGGGATTATTTGCTGCTTTCCCTGGTGACAAATAACTAGTACAGTGATAGTGTGGATTGGATCACCTGGCTCAAAACTAGTCGACCCACAGAAATAGTTCACTGAAGTGTGTGTACTGCCCAGGAGTGGTATGGGATTGTTTCCACTGGTGTGTGCTAGGTGATGAAGAATGTGCTGGGAATGCCCCTTTTGAGCAGGGCTGCAGACATGCCCATTTAAAACAGCTGGGAAGTCACTGGCTGGGGCAGGGATCCAGGAGGCTGAACCAGATCCCTGCACTTGTCCTGCTGTTGACAGCAGAAGTGGTGTTGGCAGCACTCCTCTGCTGAGCCGCGCCCTGTGCAAGGAGGCAGAACATTTCACAGATGGTCTGGTGATTTCAAGCTAACACCACAGCACACGTGCCCTTGTTCCTGTTGTGGGTGTGATCATAAGGGCAGAGAAGCAGGTTTCCTTCAGAGAGCCTCTGGATGTCTGCCTGCCTATGAAGATGCTGCCTGTACTCCTAATCTGAGCCAGGTCAATACAATCTACTGTCAATAGGTACTTACTTGAATAAGTAATTACAGAAGGGGGAAAAGTAGCTGTTCCATTAATATGCTTTTCATTACAGAAACACATTATTGATAGGCAGTACATGGAGTCATCTTAGAGGTCCTAAAGCCAGACAATAAGAAGTCAGCTTTATGGCAGAAGATGTAACTGTTCAATGTGTAGAGAGGGTTATTTTTGCTCCTTAATGCTTTTAGATTTGGTTGGAAGTTCATTAAAGTACTTCAGGAATTGCAGTCACTGAAGTAGAACCCTTTCTTTAGAAGAAAGATTATTTCTAATCAAAGAAAAAATTATTTAAAACCTAGGCAAGAGTATCTGGTTTTTTTCAGTATCTGCAGAGCTTTTGAATTCTTCTTGAATAGAAAGTGATAAATTTACAGCAGTCACTATGAGTGTAGAGTTTCTTCCTTGGCAGACTTCTAGATGAAAGAAGAGAGTTGCTAGTTTTGATTACTTCCATAGTAATTTGAATCTGTGTCTAAATGTTGTTACAATTGCAACACAAACAGCCAAAATGTCTTTTAAATGTAGGTTATTTTAGTGACAGTCCAAGCTATGAAAATGAGAAGTTAGAAAGAACAACCTACTGAGCAAAATCTTAGCATATTGAAATCAATGACTTTTCTGAATTCCTTAGTCTTTTAGAACAATTGCCACCTCCAAAATTTGGAATGCAATTACAGGGATACCCTGATAGTTCATATCAAAAGATGATAGAAATGTAGGAGACATCCTGGAACAGCAGGCCACCAGGGTGGCCTGGTCATACCCCCTTGGTTACACTCAGGCTGGAACCATGTTTTCCTCACCTTCATGGAAATGCTAACCTAATGTGGTTCTCTTGTCAGGCCTGCCGTAGGAGGGAGAATGGTGGTGGGTAAATGCTACTGTTAATAAATCATGAGGGTTTTGTTCTCCCAGTAGTTAATTTGTAGCATTCCCATGAATGCAAATGCTGAAGTTTAACAGCGAGACTGATAAACGTTACTTTACTTGAATGATTTAGGAGAAATGTTCAGATGTTGCAGAAATCAGTGGATAGCACAGGAACAGATGGAAAACCATTGCCTACTGAACAAAGATTAATAAGAATAGAGCTGAGCAACATTTCTGGGATTGATTTGGACTTTTGAACAGTTTGAATGTAGAGGAACCTGAGCAATCTGCGATGGAGAACTAATACAAATTAATTCCTGTTTCTTACATAGTAGCTGTTGTTGAAGAGGGTTAGAACATATCCAGTTTCAATGTGTATTTCCACTGAGAGAATCCCTTCTAATTAATAGTAAATTTCTGCCACATATTTATTAGCTAGTAGGCAAGAGGACAGTGTGTGGAAGTTGGAAGAGAAGAGAGAGTAGGTGGGTGCTGCAACTTCTGCCTCCTTTAATGGATGATGTGACCAACTGGGCAAGTATCCAGTGCAGACACCAGTGGATCCTCAGTGAGTGTCTGGCTACAAACTCTGATTCCAGCTGTGGGCTATGCACCTTGCAGGTGGTTTTCTTCACACATGTTTCACTTTAACTTATGGTGTCAATTTCTAACTGTTCTGCTGTGTGGTTCTCAGCAGTCCTTCAGAAAAATGTGCTGTGTATGATTCTGCACTCCAGCTCAGAATTCAGAGGAAGGAGGACTGAGCCAGATGGGATATGCAGAGGAGTGCAAGGGTAGCTTCTTGAAGCAGGGTTGTGCCCTAAGAGAGCAAGGAGCAGTGTAAGCGTGGCCAGAGACCCTGATCTGCAGCATCAAAGTAACAAGTGTGTGTTTATGTCAGGTCCCAGGGGAAGGTGGAAGTGTTGGAGGGAGGGGAAATGGCCAGGTTTGATGGCTTGAGCTGTGTGCTGCTTTAATAGTAGGAGAGATGGGCTTGAGATCCTACTTCAAAGAAGGAATAAGAGGATAGGTAGAGGTGCAGGGTACTGTTTGAAGGTCAGAGTGCAGTAAAGGAATGGGGAAGGTGGATTTGGTCCATGATACTTGTGTCCTTTTCTGATTGCTGCGTGGTCAGAAATTGTTGTGGGTATCCACTCTGTTAAATAGTCAGTTGTTAAATATTATGCAAATATAATTTAAAAAGGGAAAAAAAGAGTATGAATTACTATAAATGTGATTTTTATTTATAACCAATACAATTATAATTAAAGAATAATTTAAAGGAAACATAATTGGAGAAAGATGAAAAAACTGTGATGTGCTTCACCTGGGCATGCTCAAGTCCCAGGCACAGAGCTATGAATTGCTCCTGCTGTTGAAGGCACTGATGGCTTCTCCAGCAACTGTGGCAACATGTGTAACAGACTGAAGAGCCTGACACTATTAACATTCTTTTTATCGTGGGTACAAGGCTGATTAAATTAATTCTAAACTGTCTCTTTGATAAAATGCATAGTTTGAATCCCTGCATTCTGTAGTATAAGGTCTCTTGTCATCTTTTAATCACATTCAGATCTTCCCAGTGCCTTCCTCGTGTTGTCAGTTGCTTCTTGAAGGCTCTGCTAGACAGAGCATTTGAACAGTGATCATATCTATGTCAAGTACAAAAATAAAGTCTGCCTGTTCCTCCTTGATGTTGCTGTTTACATGTCAACTGTTCTAGCCAGGTTCTGGTGAAAGCTCTGTTCAACCTGACTTACATCTCTAGGTTGTTACCCAAGCTGAGCATCCCTGAATTGTGTGCTCACAGTGTGTTTGGCATGCTGCTGCCTTTGTTCCTGCTGTGCAGTTACATTTTATTCTTTTGAACTGCACATCACTGATTACCTTTTCATAGACAATGCAGACTGTTCTGTCATCTCTATGATTTGTCAGTCTCCTAGCCTTTGTTTTTACCTGCAAATTCTCGGAGTATATTTGATACATACAAGTCATTCTTTGTCTCCCTCCCCATCTCCGTCTCTATCCTGCCTCTCTTCCCTCCACCCCAGTTACATAAGGCTAATGCCAAAACTTTGTGAGACCCACTAGAAAGCTCATATAATGGATTAACTTTTTAGCAGCCCTGTTCTCTTGCTTTTCAATCTGTCATTTGAAATCAAATCAGTGGTGATATGTATGAAAACATCACACTATAAACACTAGGATGTGAAAACAGGCATACTGGTTGCTTTTCCAATTGCCCTGTGAAGTGCAGCATGGAGAGGTAGACAGGTAACTTCTTCAGTCCACACAGCCAAACCTAGCACAACTTGGAACCCAAATGGAAGACACTTACTGACCATTTATATTGAAAAACACATTGTGGAACTTGTCTCTTTTTTTTTTTCCTTTTTTTTTTTAGTTGCATTTAAATATGCTAAAATGATTTAGTGTCTACTTTTTCAACTGAAGTGTTAAGTGACAAGCTGTATAGCTAAGGGTAATGTCATTATTGCTGTCTTTATCAGGAAAACCTTGTGGGCTCACCAAAAGTGTCAAGAAAGATGCATTAAATCCTTAATAAGGATTAAATAAGGACTGTGATAAGTATAATAATTTTGACAGCTCTAATACTATTCTCCATGTAATAATTCAGTTATCTAATCTTGTGTTAATTGTTTTGTTGGGTACCGGTGCTGGTTGGTAGATGACAAGCCTCTGGTTGCCCAGCTCATCCTGTTGGAATAATGGAACAACTTTATTTGATCTTTTCAGGAATTTCTTGGGTTTTTCAAGAATTACTAAAATTTACGCAAAGTCCTATGCAGTACTAAATTTTATAGTCCCATGGATGTTATTATATTAAGACTTGCAATATATGCAGATCAGTTCAGCAGGGCAAAAGTTGTTAGAAATGTTATTGTGTTGGTATAGTAATGATTGCATTAAACAAATTATTAAATTTCATAAATAAATAAAATTAAAAGTGCATTAAAAATGCAACTTTTAGTTACACTTCATCTTTAATTCCGTTTTAGATGTTTTGTGTAAATTATCAATAATAGATATCTGTCTTATATCCATAGATTGAGTGTGGTGTTTTCTTTATTACTGCTTAAGCAGATCTGTTTGGCCTCCTGAATTCTGTTTGAAGAATGTCTTATCACTAATTTAATAGCGGCCTGGTGTTACAGAAGTTTTCACAGATGTCTAGGCTTCTTTCATGTACTGTGCATGTTTTCCAATAAGTGTTCATTTCTTTCTGCAAACTGGTGTATCTGTACACAAATACTGCTCCTTGATGTTTCTGGTATTGCTGTTTTTACAAGGATATTAAGATGCTAGTCCAATACCATCTTTGATCCAGGGTTTGACATGAGTTCTTACTCCCAAACTATTTCAAAACAAAAATACCTACTCATTATGGCCACTTTCCTAGCATCTGACTGCAGTTCCTTCCCTCTGCACTTTCAGCTGGCATGTAACTGTACAGCTGTTATACCTATTATTCATCTCAGAAGAGCAGAACAAAAAGTGGGAAGTGAGAAGGGAGCTTTCTCAGGCACCTCTGCTACTGGTGAGATGGAATCTTTCTGTCAGCTCCACAGCTCCTTTCTGTCTCCAGTAATCATTTGCTCCTCACTGCATTTAAAACTCCCACCTTCAGCTGCATGTATCCAGATGATTTCATGCTTTGTTCTGGTTGTGTGGGATGTAGGCAGCCATTTTTAATAGGTTCTTTTTTCAAAATTGATTATTGGTTATTCCTGCAAGGCAATCAGCCCCATGTGTCTTTATATAAGCATCATTATAAAAGAAAAGCTTGCTTACTTTAATTTTCCTACTTTGAACAAAATATGCCACTCCAGTGAAAGCTACTTTATATATTTTTGCTTGTATGTGAAGTTTTATCTGTGCAAATACATTTATTAAAGAATGCTCTTCTTCATCTTTGTTATCAGTACAATTATGTCAGCAGAAGTGTCTGCAGAGGTTTAAGTATTTAGTGTAAACTTAGCTTATTTAGAAAAATGGGTGTCAAAAAGATAATTGTCAGAAAGATTATTATATATTTATGTACTCAAACCAAACACCTCTATTTTTTCATCTGTGGTCCCTAAATTTTGACTAAAACCAAAACATGATGTAGAAGGTGTCTGATCCCATCTGATCAGGTTGTTTGTGGCAGTCTGTTGATCTGACTAATTTTTTTTTTTTGCATTTGTTTTATTGTGAAAAGCTATTTTGCTAAGCTCTGCTGATGGCAATAATGGAACTGTTAACTGGACGACTAAGCGAGCCCACAGTTATGTTATCAGCAGAATAAAGGCTGTTCAGAAGAATGGTGAGTTTAGGTTGTAAATTTAAATACCCTGTTGGTTCAAGCAAACCTGCTTTCAATATTACTCTTGCTTTTCCAGTCATGTCCTTGTTTTAGGAGTAGGGTGCTATTTTAAGGTAAGTAATTTGGAAAACTTTACATTTCTTGAGTCTTCAAATATTCACAGACCTGCGTGTTCTTGTTAGTCTTCCCTGACTTTTCCTGTTCCTGTAGCTTTGCTTGAAATAATGGCTGTGTTTATACCTAATACTGCACATTTTCTTATCATGGCTGGTTGCTTCAAGATACCTCTGCAGTTTGCTTAATCCAATAACTTCTCTGTAACAATTTTAAAAAGTCTTCTCACACATGAATGTCAAAAGACTATTTTACTGCCCTTTATGCAAGTACACATCAAATACTGTAGGTAGTGCACACACTGGCTAGAAGAAGCTTTGCACTGATTGCTCATCTAGTCAGGCAATCTGGATTGGCCTCCAGATCAAGTTGTTGCTGGGATTGTTCTTCATCTGCTAAATATCAGTGGGGAGAGAACCAATTGAAATTTCTAGGGGAAAAGAACCAAAAAACTTCCAACTGAATTCTTTCCTGAGGATCATCAACTACAGGCTGCAACCAACACGGTGAAGCTTCTGAAATTTCTGGAGATGGGGGTTTTCTGTTTCTGGTAACAGGCCCTGGGCTGCAGGCTGATAAAATCCTGTCTGAATTCCTGGCTGTGCCTGTATTCAAGACCCATAAGGAGATCTTGGGATCTACAGAAAGTCCTCCAAGCAATCTGGAAACAAGAAAGAGGAAAGCAGTGTTGTAACGGTAGCTGATTCTAGCAGGGATCTGATGTGATCCTAAGTAATGAAGATTTTAAATTTCCCATTATTAGTTTTACAGAAGCTTTTCACAGTCCCTGAGACTTTTATCTACCCCAGGGAATTTGCCCAGACAATTCACAGCTGGCAGTCTGCTGTATTAGATTAGTATCTATTCGTTAAGTATATTCAGTTTTGTTCCTAGATCACCCAAGATGATGATTACACATTCATGTCCAGTCTCAGTCTCATGAAAATAATCATGGTTTTAAAAGCTTGTGAAGAAAGTAGCATTTCACTTGTTTGATTATTGAAAAGTTAGTGATACTGTAGTAGATTGAAGACTCAATTCTCCTTCTGGTTTTGAAGAAACTTCTTGGGGGTTAAAACAAGGAGGACATCTCTGACAAAAAGGGTGAGAACTTCTGAGTTTTTAATCACTGTACTTGTGTCAATATGATGTGTTTGTCATTACAAGATAGAACAGGTTTCTGGGATTTTTCCTTCTGAGAGATGTTTCTAGACTTCCACCGAGATCTGTGTTTTATATTTGCATCAAATCCTTACTGGTATACTTATTTCAGCAGCAGGGAGTGTCTCATTGCTAGGAAAGGACAGACATTTAGTGTTTGGGTTTTTTTTCAGTAACTGCTGATTGTATTATGCTTGTTTCTTCTTGAAAGAATTGCTTACTGAGAAAAAATGCACATTTCTTTTTCACTGTTCTTCTTGCTTGAAATGGATTTTCATCATAGAGGAAAAGCATCAGAAATGGAAAAATTATCTTTTCTAGGTATTTGATCCACCTTCATCCAGCTACCATATTTTTGTCAGCTCTTCTATTAATGTTACTTTTTCAATATAATGTTATTTTTTCTTGAAAATATTTTAAAGGAAATTAGTTAACTTCTTTGGATAATAATTTATTAATTTTAAGTAACGATCTTCCTGTGTGTAAGTCTACATAATGAAAATGACTGTAACTGTTTTATTGACCACACAATTGTATCAATTCAAATTTCAGGATCATTTAAATTTTGTCACTAAGATAAATTATTAGAAAGGTACTCTGTTCAGTATTGTGCTAAAAATGGTTTTCAGAAAAGCAAATGCTGTGCAATGTGATAAGTAGTATATCCAGAGTTATATATTCATTAAGCTTGAAGAGTGGGGACTATGTAATTAAATGTGGAGGTCTGCATTATAGATGTCTGCATCTCCTCTCGGATGCCTCTGCAGTCCGTGGAGATCTAGTCAGTGTAGCCTGGAATCTAGGACATGATTCATCTCACTGTACAGGAGAAATCAAATAAATCAACCCCTAGAAGCATCTGTTTCTTCTCCACTGACTATAAAAGGAGCCTGACTAACTTAGTGGTAGATGTTGTTTCTGTAGGCATCTAAAATTAGGTGAGAGAGATTCCACTCAGAGTACGTGGTGCGAGGGCTGGAATTCCTGTGATTAATGCATAATTAATAGTGCCTTTTTAAGCAGATCTCAAGTAAAAAAGTTGGTATAATTATCAGGCTGAAGAAATTATACCAGGATTAAAAAAATTATACCAGTATTGAAGAATTACATGAGCTTTATCCACATTTCAAATGTGTCCTCTTATTGATCCAAGGTTGAAGTTAGCACCTCTGGGACCTACAAATTTATTCCTACCAGAAGTGTCTTTTGGAGTCTGTCTTCCCAGTGACAGCACCTCTGTGCTGTGTGGCCTATAATTTGCTTTTGGAGATGTGATTCCTCATGAAGTTTCTTCCAGTTTGGCAAGCAAGGCTGATAGATGTGTATGGTTGTCTGTGTCTTACCATCTTTATCTACTGCTTTTGTAATCTTCATCTCACTGACAAAATCTATTAGCAATGATCAATTCTTTCAGGGCATTAAATTAAAGTTCAGTAGTAATAAAATTAGTAACACAAGCTACAATCAATCTTATTATGACACCTTGAGAAACACCTATTAAATCAGTATTCTCTGTTTATACTTATATTTTGAAACTTGTTGATAAAGTGGCTTCTTATTCATCTAATTTATTGTAATGATTTCTTCATTCTTCTCATTCATTAAAATGTGTATGTAGTTCTGCATCAAATGTGTTATACCTAAGAAAGCTATGCCCTTGTCAGCAAATTTCTTACTAAATAAAAACCACGTTATTGCTTTTACACATGCTGATTGTTCTGAATTTTCTTGTAAAAAATTCAGTCCTGTAAAACATGTCTTCACTTTTTTTGGTCTGGAATCAGTTTCACCTGACTGGCCTATAAATACCCTTGTCCTTTTGTTTTATCCTTCAATACAAGCCAAACTCTTCAGTAAAGAGCTCTCTAACCAAAGTTTGAGTTGTATTTTACCCTGGTGGTCTGAGAAAGTCTAGCTGTAAGAACTCATAGAAATCAGCTGAAGTGAAGTGTGTCCTTTTCTGCTCAAGAACTGAAAAATCTGCCATTTCTGTTCAGTGAGAAATGAGAACCGTCGATTGGTAAGGTTCCTCTGTATTCCTCTGTTGCTTTCTCTGTGTAAAATATCAGGAAAACATGATTGTGTAATTAATTTAATGGACTTTTATTAACATAATATTAAAAATAAACCAACTATAAAACTACAGTAGCCTTCCTATTTTTTTTAAATTACAATAAATATAAAGAGCTTATACAAATGTTGAAATCTTGACATAGGCAGTTTTGTTTATTGCAGTCTTGGAAAGGATCCTGTTGGGCAGAGAGGGTTTGCTCTGTGTTCTGTTCTTAAATCTACATAACCTTTTAAAAAATCTTATTAACAGGTGCCTAATATTTGTTGCTTTCCTTCTCCCAGATGCCCGCATTGCTGTTGAACTGCATGAAGTTACCTTGAGCATGTCTCATTTTTGCCTTTTTTCTGTCTCTTCTCTCTCCTTCTGCTTTTCAGTGTACACAATTCTGTCTAAGGTGCACTCTGATCGGAATGTATACCCTTCTGCTGGAGTTCTGTTTGTTCATGTTTTGGAGAGAGAGTACTTTAAGGGGGAATTTCCTCCTTACCCAAAGCCTGGTATGAGATGCTAAGATCTTCCATATTATATGCAGATACAGAAAAAATATTGTTATAAAAAATTGAAGTCTATTTAGCATACCTTGTGGTTCAACATATAAGTTTTTAGTTTCTATTGAAATATCTTCAAATGAAATAAAATGTGTTGTCCTATACTTTTAAAATATTCCAGTTTGTGGTTATTTGTGAAAAAATGCATATAAATGTGTATTGTGAAAACATCTACTAAATTTGGGAAGGTGTAGTAATCCATTATATATATCTGATATTAAGTGTTTCATCACTTTTGCATTAAAATGAAATTGTGGAAATGTGTTAATTGTTAAAAATGCTATTTATCTTGTCACTGTTTGAGACATAGTATGTATCAGGCTATATGAAGGAGCAATTTAAAAGCATATAGTAAATGTAAGACAAAATAGAAGATTAATCAAATATGAGACTGAACTGTTTTCTTTCATTTTTAAAAATAGTCCTTTGGCTTCAGCCTTCTTCCTATATTTAGGAACAGTTTAATGTTAATAAGCAGATTGGTTTAGAGAAGGAGCTGATTTCCTAAGGATGGTTTTGCCATACACTAAAGCTAAAAGACTGGTCACCACAGGTTAGAATATGTGTAAGCAATCTGGTAGGGGTGGGAAGAGAGAGAGCATTCAGCCACACATGCTTATCAACAGTGAAAAGGAATAAATGTATCCGGCTTATAAAAATATTACTAATTTCCGATAACAGGAAAATAGGAAAAATTTGTGTACAATGCACACATAATCAAATCCTGTTTCATTAATAAGCTTTTGAATTGATTTGGGAGTGCTGTTACTAAGAGTCACTTTAAAGAAAAAACAAGCTTCTGTTAGCATTGGTTAAATTCTGAGTAAACCCAAATGTTTTTAAAATTTCATCTCTTTGTAAAATGGGTGTTTTTCCTGACTTGGATACCTGAGTCTTCATTTATGCCATGGTGACTGGCAGAGTGAAGTTTGCCTCTGTTCCAGTTTTCTCTCAGTTTTGGCACATAGGTGGTAGGAGCTTGGAAATTTTTCTAACAATGGATTGTCTTACAGCTGCAGCCTCTTGACATTCATGTGATTCCAAGGCAATAGGAATGTGGTTTCAGATCCTTTTAAACTGCTGTTCCCACAGACAATTGTGATTATGTCAGAAATTCACTGTGAGGCCAGGTGTTGTGATGGTACTCTTACATTTGTCTACTGAGCTGGATCATTGCCATGGCCTACTTTGACAAAGGAAGGGCAAACCAGAATGTGTTACAGGTCCCTTTTCAGAATTTTCCCCAAATCATTTGTGGTGCTGGGAATTTGTTCGGACCAGGGTGCTAGTAATTCCAGGTTATGAGTTCAAGCTGTCTACGTGCCATTCACTTAAGTGTTGGGCTCTGTGATCCTTGTGGGTCCCTTCCAACTCAGAATATTCTGTAATTGTGGATTCTGTGATTCTGACTGCGATAGATTAGATTACTGGGACGTCCTGAGAGAATTGGGAGGGAAGTTGGTCTGGTCCTGGTTAATTTTACTCAACCAGATGTGGAAATCTATACCTGAAGACTAGACCCTTGGGCAACTCATCTCAGTCTCTTTGTCCCTCTCTGGAGGAGATGAGAACTGTTCATTCTTCACTGTGCTCAGTTTCTGCTGTCTGGGCCAGCCTGGCTGGTATCTCCTTTCATCACCTGTCCTATAATGCAGTTGCCCTCTCAAAGCCAAGTTGGAGTGCAGGGCAGAGGTGTCCATGCAGGCTCAGAATGGATCTGACTTGAGTTCTGTGCCTCAGCTGGACACTGCCTTGGTGGTGAGATTTGGTAGTGTTCAGGCCTGATGTCATTTACAAAAGCTAAAATAAGCTGAAGTAAAATCCAGACATTTATAAGAGTATCAATAAGAACCACAAGAATCAATGTGCTGGTTCGACTTGAGGGGCTTTTACAGCTGGACCACTGTATTTGGTAGCCATCAGTGGCTCCACTTCACAGGAATGTCTGATCCTTTTTTGAATTAATTTGTTCTCTAATTAAAATGATTGCCAGGCTGTGGGTGCCAAAGACCTGTATGCATATCCTAATGCTAACAGAAGCTTTCAGGCATTATTGATTACAGAGTACTCTTTACAGTACATTGAGTACCTGGATCCATCAATAAAAGTAAGTTGGGAGGGGGAATTAAAGGACTGAAACCTTTGTGCTTTTGTCTGTAAGGAGGTTAGATGCTTCAATTTGAGGTGGAACTGAGCTCTAAAAGCCAGACCCACTAGTTACTGAACATAAGCATTCAGTTAACCAAAACTCTAGGAAGTACCTGCACATTATGTCTGCAGTTGGTTACACTTTCCAGATATGAATTTCTTAATACCTAGAAGTGCTAAGTAATAGTTCATTTATTTCTGATATGGTAAAGGTTAGCAAATTTTAATTTTTCTTCTTAGAAAGATTTAGAAAACAAGTGAAAACAGAATATGACTTCCTAGTTGAAAAATTAAAATCAAAGAATTTTAATTCTTGTTAAAAAATGTTAAAAAGGAAAACAAGTGAAAACAGAATATGACTTCCTAGTTGAAAAATTAAAATCAAAGAATTTAACATTTTCTTGTTAATATTCTAATATAATTTCTCTTATCTAGGTGAAATAAGTAATGATCCTATAACATTTAATACGAATTTAATGGGTTACCCTGACAGACCTGGATGGCTGCGCTATATACAAAGGACACCGTACAGTGATGGGGTGCTGTATGGCTCACCAACTGTAGAAAATGTGGGCAAGCCAACCATCATTGAGGTATTTGCTTTCAAAAGTTCAAAAATACGTATTTTGGTTTAGAGTGTAAGGTTCAGAACTGTCAACAAGTTCCCCTTGTTTTTGAATAGTTAATTACTATTTCATATTAAAGTTTTATTCAAAATGCAGAGCAAAAAAAACTTTGTAAGCAACTGTACTTGAAGAATAACGTAAACCTAACTTTGTACCATTCAGCCTAAATATGGGTCAGGCTTTCCCCCACTAGATGAAAGTGTTCACTCAATAAGCAGTTGTGGGGGTTTTTTTTCTTGTTTGGTTTTGTTTGTTTGGTTGGGGTTTTTGGTTTGATTGCTTTGGGATTTTTTTCAATTATTTTTCTTCAAATATCCCCCTGTTCATTATTCATGTTTATTGATAGGTTTTATTTTAGTTAGCACTTTTATGAATTTAATTCATATGAGTGTAAAAATCACAAAACTGTGGTTTTGAGAGTTAGCTATTCAAATATTTTAAAGCACTAATTATTCATTGAGCAGCAATTAAAAAGGGAAAAGGGACATTATTTTCTACCACGTATTTCATAGACAGCAGGCACTGTGTGGTTCCCAATGTTAAGAAATCTTCACAGTAACTTGCTCCAGCCGTATATTTGCCTCAAACTCTTGATAAATATTTTTTTTTTAAATTGCATTTGATGTAGTTTTTCTTCCTAAAGACTGATAGCTCTGAATGGTAAGTTGTACTGCAGATAGTTTCACCCATGTTTAATTTTGTTCTCATGATTCTGTTTTGATTTCAGCAGGACTAATACCATCTGAGAATTGATCACTTGCAGGCTTTGCTAAGTTTTATTTAGAGGAAACCGTTATTTGAAATTGCCAGTTTTTAAATGGCATGTGCTTTTAGATTCTAGGATCTATATCTAGACCTCCATTAGCATGACCCCAAGCCATATTTGAAGTAAATCTTGCCTAGCATACAAATTAATTCCTTGCAGTTCCAGTCTAAGATGTGGCTTTTGAATTAATTTTGTGGTGTGTGAGGAGGGCAGATGGCATTTGATCCTCTTCCTAGTGCTCTCTGAGAGGAGTGATTGCATATTCCTGGCCTGAATATAACTTCCATCATGTTATAATTCCTGAGGGGATATCATGGGGAGCTCACTTAACTGGAGGACACCTCATGATTAGGAGAGCCTAGCATTATGCATAGCACTGCAGTAGAGCAGGTGACATTCTTGAGCTCAAGCTCCTTTGAAAGCTGTGCAAAGACAGTTTGTGTCTGAATGAATATTCAGAACAGAGGCAATCTCTGCCATGCCTTCCTGTGGTGGGTGGGCTGTGCTGGCAGCTCCCACTGCTGGGGTGCAGGCTCACGGTGGGTACTGCTCCTGTACAGAGCTTGTATGACAGAGAGTTTGATTTTCTGGGTACTAGTGGTTCAACTGCTGTTGAAGAAACCCTTTGAAAAATTAGCAGAATTAGGACTAGAGAAATCTCAAATTTATTTTCTGTTAATTTTATAATGAAATTATAAAATTATAATGTTAAATGAGATCTGATTGTGTTGGGTAAGCTTTTCCCTTTCCACTTAAACCTGCAGTAGATACTCCACAGCACTTTTCCTTTTCATTCAAATACTTTAAAAGAAGGGCAACATCTGCTACTTTTATTTTTTTAATAGTCAGTGGTTTGTGGCTCTGTTTGCTGAGAAACAACATAGTTCTGTCACTATTGTCACTCCTCTGGCTCTCCTTTGCTCTTGAAATGAGTGAAGTCTAAAATTAGAAAGAAAATTAGGTTTTTTCAGTGTATTTCATGAAAGATTTATCACCTCTCAGGGATAAAAAGGTAGAGAAGATAATACATAATTATACTGATAATCCAGCCTTGTTCTGTATTTGTTATGAATGATCACTTAATCATAGTACAGCCTTGGAGTACAGTCACCACTGAGAAGTAACCACTTGCGTGCATTTCAGGTATCCTAGATATTTTAACTTTTAGATTAGTATCCTTGCATATTTTATTCATGAAGGTTTATGTTGCATCTGCCTTCTAGTTTTCACTTCCCATACATTTACAGGTTCCAGCATTTTTTAACAAAACTGCTTGTGTTGGAACATTATTTTGAATTCATTCATGGAGTGAAACTTCACTGGGGCCAGAGCTAAAACTAAATAGCAGTTCCAAAGATGAGAATTCCTGGCATCATTACACTTTTTTCTTCAAAAAACCTCTCTCTGTAGTTTATTTCCTGGGAGCTGTCGATGAATTTAGATCTCCTAGTATTCATGGAGGTGGGGATTGGAGGCTGCATGGGGAAATGGAGAAATCAATCTGTCCTTGTGGTGGTTCTTAAAGATAACAGAAGAGAACGAATACACATGTATGGCAGAACACTTCTATCAAGACCAAAATATATTATTTTCACATATTCATTAATTTTATTTGGCTCTAGACTGGTCAAGAAAATTCCAATATCCTGATTTGAAGGTAGTACTGCATTAAATAAATTTACCTTACCTTTCAAGTTTTATATTAGTGAATGAATGTTCATAGGTTTCAAAATAAGGCGGCAAAGTACTTAAAAACTGATATGTTTTTCTAAGTTATCAGTTTAACTTTCACTGATGTTTCATTTATATAATTTTCATTTTTGCATTGTTTTGTAATCTTTTTCACTCTAGATCACTGCATATAACAGGCGTACCTTTGAAACAGCAAGACACAATTTGATCATTAATATAATGTCAGCAGAAGGTATGTACAGAATATAGCTGGTTGTATTTTTAACTGAATCAGCAAAACCCTCTTATGGGCCCCTGCTTTTGAAGATAAATACTGTAAAATAATTGTCTGGTGTTCAAACTAAACACAGAGGCACAGGGGAGAAGTAAGATAATTTTTCTTGCTTTAATTAGTTTTGATTTTTTAATCCAGATGATTTCTGTCATTCAGGACGGTTTTTTTCACTCACTGTAAAATGTCTGCATCTTTGTTTTTCATTAAACTGCTTCTAATTCGAAATTTCCCTTGTCTTTTCAAAGGGACCTTACATGAAGGATTTCCCTCTCTTTCTGCATGGTGTTTAATTTCCTTAGTTCTCTGTGTACCTTATGCAATGAACAATTGTGTAGGCAGAGTCAGAAGATAACAGGTTATGGCATATATGGACATTTGGTCCTTAAAATTAGTTCCCTTTATCACATTTATATTCTGGAGTGTCACAAGTTAGAATCCATTGTTGCTGCAGATTGGTTTTGACCCACAAATTAGCATGAATGTAATTATATCTGCTTAATGAAGTTTTAGCAACTGAGACTCTTTTTCTCTAGTCTGCTTCTTCCCTGTTGTTTTATAAATAACTGAAGGTATTAGCTCAAGTAGCAGCTAATGGTACTCTCTATTGAATTTAACATAATCACAGTAGGTTCAAAATTAGCTAATTCAAATACAGGATTTTTGGAAAGGTGTATTAATCTTAAGTAGTATTATATTAATCATTACTCCAGATATTTTAAAGATTATTTTTAGATTTATGAAGCCTTTGTTTAATGCAACACTCTTTTTCATCACAAGCAGATTTTCCTTTACCGTATCAAGCAGAATTCTTCATAAGGAATATGAATGTAGAAGAAATGTTGGCAAGTGAAGTTCTGGGTGACTTCCTTGGAGCAGTGAAAAATGTATGGCAGCCAGAACGCTTGAATGCTATAAACATTACTTCAGCCCTTGACAGGGGAGGGAGAGTTCCACTTCCCATTAATGACATGAAAGAGGGGTAAGCATGTGTCAGTATGATGTTTTTGTTTCATTTTTTTTTGTTTTGTTACTAAGAAACCTAATATTTTTCAAGTTTTCTAGATACTTTGCAATTACTATTTTGTGTTTTGGAATTAGATGTGAAAAGTTTACTCATGTTCTGAGCCCCAGAACTATGTGTTAGATAGCACAACAACAGGGCACAGTTCCTATATATGGAGGTAATACTCTAAGGAACACTAACAAATTCAATTAATTATAAATGAGTTGGTAGTAAATATGGGTTTTTTGTAATCTCAGTTTCACTTCTGAGCAGTCACTTGGCAGCATGCTTTTTCATGTTTTTAACCGTTCCCAATTAATTAAACTCAAAATTTTGAAGCAAGTTATGATAGAGCAGAGACACTTCAATTTCTGACAGCAGTTTGCATGTAACAGTGTATTTTTTAGCTGTTCTGACTAAGTGAATTAGGTATGTGATTCAAGAGCACTGTTGACTTCCTTCTGAAAGTTGTAAGGTGTCTGGGGAGCTCAGGTTATTGAGTGCAAACTGCTGGAATGGACTGGTTCCAGTTGTGATGTGTAACCATAAATACTGTTCTGAACAGTATTTAATGGGAAACTAGTGAGGATTCAGTTTTTTCAAACATGGTTCTGACAGTGCTTTTCCCTGGTGAAAGTGAAGATGCCTAGTTATTTTTAGATAATTTTAGATATTTTGGAATCAAATCTAATAAAGGGATGAAGGTTCAAAATATGATATATGTTCAGAAAATACTGGCTTTTTCAGAACCCTTTTGTGTCTCTGAAGTTTTTGAGCATATTTAAAGGAATAAAGTGACTTCTGTACTAGCCAGAGTAATAGCAGAGTCACTGATACAAATGTCTACACTTCAAATGTTTAGTTAGATTATGCCTACTAAACAAGTGGCAACTGGGGCCTAATTTCTGTTTCAGAATCCATTGGTACATTATAACCTGGTGCAGCAGCCTGTATTTTACAGCAGCATTCCATGTACCTAAATATGACAATGAATAATACAATCAGTGCAGTAGCTCTCATTTTATGTATGGTAATGCCAAATCAAGTATGAGGTTTACCTTCAGCTTTCAGTATTCTGAAGCAAATTTTGTTGGCCATGCATAGCTGCAGTATGGAATCTTTCAGAAGCAGCTTGAGGTTAGCATGTTCATATCTGTATTAGGTTTAACAATAACTAGTCATTGTGATTTTATTTTGAAAGTATGGGAAGAAACTCTAAAAAAATCTATGATGAGTAAGATTAAATATTTTCTTAAAACAAAATTATGCTATTTTAATACAATTTTCAAAAATAGTACTGATTTACTTACATGAGAAAGCCACGCTTGGAGCTCTTTGACTTCATAGAAATTGGCACAAGTGATGGTATTGAAGCATTTACATTAACAAGCAAACCAGAATGTGTTGCAATAAGCAGCTAGGAAAGTTGTTTTGATTTCAGTCTGTTACTGGTATGCTTAAAGAGATAAAAGTACACTGTGAAGAAAAATTACTTTAAAAAGTAATTTTGATCTTTAAATAACAGCTGAATGTTACTGTGTACAACAATAATATTTGCAAGAGTACACCATTGTTCTTTGGGGATTTGTGAGACATCCTGCTGGTCTGTCACTCCTCTCTTCCTGCAGTGTGTATGTGATGGTTGGGGCAGATGTTCCTTTCTCTTCATGTTTACGAGAAGTGGAAAACCCACAAAATCAGCTGAGGTGCAGTCAAGAAATGGAGCCTGTAATAACCTGTGATAAAAAATTTCGGACTCAATTCCATATTGACTGGTGTAAAATCTCTCTGGTGAGTTATTTTATAATTGTATAAAAGTGATGTTTGTAGAAGTACAGGTAAGAGTTTTGCAGTCTGGTCAGACAACATTGCCAATTCCACTTTATTGTGACTGATATTTTTTTTCCACCTAGCAGACACTCTTAAGATTGTGAAAGGATTTTGATATCTAGGCTAAATTCTGTTAGAGTTCAGCCCCAGTGAAACCACTGTATTTTTTTCACTAGCAGTGAATTCTATAAATGGCCAGAGAACTCCAGGACTTAAAAAAGTAAAAGTAATGAGAGGTGTAGTTCATTAATTCAGAATGCTGATGCTGCTGGTTACACTTCTTTGAAAAGTGTGTGCATACATACATGTTTTCTCCGAGTCTACACTGACCAAATAATACTATGCTGTTAAAAAACTGTTCCTGAAAATTGTCTAAAACATATTTTATGTTAAAAATTAAATAGAAAAAGGAATGAAAGTAGTGTTGACTGCTTAGATAATAAATAGGAACATTCTTCTCAGTCAAATGCAAGAAAAAGGTAACCAAACACTAGACTATTTGTCATGAAAGCAGAATAATTTCTCGAGAGGCTTTTTAAGGTTGTTTTTTTTTTTAGTTCCTGTAAGGAAAATCAAGAAATAATACAGTATTGGAAGAGAATGTTGCAGATAAATCTGAACAATGATGGTGAAGGTATATAAAATAAACTTAGATGATTGTTGAGCTGCTTCAGACACGACCCAGGAGGAAGCTGAAACGGAGATCCCAAACACTGTATGGAAAAAACTTAAAAACTTGTTGAGTATAAGGAAAGGTATTCATACACAAAGTTGATTGGATAACTTCCAGTGTTTTCTACCTATACACTATAAATTAGGAAAGCTTCTAGAAGGTTGGAAAATACTTATTTCAAAAGAACACCCAGATTATTTCCTTTTTATTGGCTTTCTGTTGAGAAATTTTAAAAGACCCAAATGTATACAGTAATACTTACCAGGACCTGAAAAATAGCAGAAGGCAGCTGGTCTTTGGCAAGTACAAATTGTGTCAAGTCTTCCATTTCCTTCTACAAGGAAGAAAGGTGGAGCAGCAAATGTCATTCCTTCTTGGTAAGGTTTTTTGATACTGTCACACAAGCAAGCTCAGGAACATGGCCTAGATGAAGCAGGAAATAGTGGAGAGCTGGTTGGTAGCCATAATCATAGCAGAATTAATAATAATTCCTGGCTATTTGTCATTAATAGCTGGATTATGGAATGTGCTTATTAAATTAAATTTATAGTTCTCCATGAAAGTGAAATGATCTGCAGGTGCATTGAGGGACAAAAAGGTCTTGAGAAATTGCAGAAACAGTCTTGGAAAACAGGATGAATTTTAAAAGAAGAAGCAGAGGGATAGTGCACTAATGCAAGAACAGTCAGCTGTGCCCATGCAGAAGAAAAAGAAGCTGGTTAGGAGTACTTCAGAATAAAAATGCCTGACAGTGGCAGTGGCTCATAAACTAGTCATGAAGCAGCATTGTCATGCTGGTTTGAGAAAAGCAGAGATCACCCTGGGATGTGTAGCAGGAACAGGCTTTCAGAGAAGTGTTATTTTCTGCAGCAGCTATAACACAGCCTTCTGGAATTCAGCACTTGTTTTGGCTGTGTGCCACAGTAACTGAACTTAAACTGTCTTAGGGGTGTTTGCTGTTGCCAGCAGAATTTCTGCTGTAACCTGCTGCATCAAAGGGAAAAGGGAGCCAAGCTTCTCTCTATCTAATCATAGTCTGCTTTTCACAAGGCAAGCTGAGAGACAGGAATTCTCCCCAGATCTATGGGCTGGGAGGGAGTTAAGCTCTGTTTCCTATATCCACAATTTAAACAAGTGACAGAAAATAGAACCATCATATCCTCATCCTCACACTGTTTATGAGGTAGTGTAGGCAGTTAGCACCCAAATAAAGAGTGGATGTAGGCTTGGGGGTCCCACATTCTGCAAGGATGGGCAATGCTCCACTTGAGGCTGCTCTCTGACAGCTTGTTCTCACACTGTGTATGGACCTCTGTCAGTCACACCAATAAGTACATATTTTTTGTGCATTGTTAGGGTCTGAGATTCAGCTAAGCAGCCAGGTAGAAACCAGTGTACCTAACATAGAGGATACTCTAGAATTAATGAACAGAGAATGCATCAGTTTCTGTTAAACAAATACATATATGTGTGTGTGTGTGCACATTTGAGGCTCAGCAGGATTTCGGAATTTTATAAAATTCCTTTTGCCCATTGCCTAAGCTGTAATACATAATTTTATTACTTGAAGTGTAAGTGATAAAGAAGTGACCATCATTTGCAAGATTTCTCAGTGAAAAGTCAGACAAAAGGTCAAGCATGTAAGCAAATATATTTTATTTGTATTAATGATTTGGAGATTAATGATCTTAAAGCTAGCACTGATAAAATTTGACAGTAACATGTAACTGAAGATAACAAAAAAATGGATGCAGAAAATTCAGTCATCTGGGAATGGCAATCAAAAGCAATAGGAAATTTAGCAGCAAAACAGGTTTGTATTTCTAGGATCATTGGGTACAGACAAACACAGAAATTGTGGAGGCTAATTGAATTTGTGTGAGGGAGACAATGAGCTGTCCTTGGCAGTTCAGTTGATGGCTCTTGATTTTTTGAGCACTGGATGTCAAGTGTGATATGAAGGAGAAGGAGGAGGAAGAAAATGTGATTCTTCATTTTTGCCGCCTTTATGCAAGAGAGGACTGTATTGTCATTTAGGAAGACTAGTAAGAAATGGATTAATTAATCAAAAAGAAATTAGAATCAGTTAAATAGTTTTCACTAAAGATCTTTACCAAATCTATATTCAAATACTGTTTGTGTGAGATATGTCTAAAATTAATCTGTAAAAGACATGGTATCTCTGCTAGGCACAAAAGAGAGTAGTAATATTATGACATTACTTATCACAAATCAGAAATTGTTACTTATATGTAAGCTTCTATTACTGAAAAAAAAAAAGGTTGGATTAAATGATACAGAATTTGTAAAATGTGTAATATGGATCTTTTTATAGGTTATGATTAGTTGAAAACCTGCCTGTTTTTACATTATGTTACTTTGTTATTTAATAGTCTTTTTTTTCTTCTTTTTTTTTCCTGGGTAATAGGTTGACAATACAAAACAAGTTTCCACCTTTCAGGAAGTGATTCGTGGAGAGGGAATATTACCTGATGGTGGAGAATACAAGCCACCTTCTGATACACTGAAAAGCAGAGACTATTACTCGGATTTCCTAATTACGCTGGCAGTGCCCTCGGCAATAGCACTGGTGCTTTTTCTAATTCTTGCCTATATCATGTGCTGCCGACGGGAAGGAGTGTGAGTACTTGAACATGCTAATAAGTAACTCTTGATTTTTTAAGATTATAATGCATAGAAGGTTATTTGTTAGAATATCTCCATTCAGTTCATTATAAACATTTAAAACAGGCCAAAAGGTATCTGCTTGTAATACTGAACTATTTTACACCTAAGCACATGCACTGATTTCCAAGCAAGTGGATGTAGGGCCTCTAGTTGTTCTAGAAAGGGTTAAAATACTCAACATATGCACAAAACTCCCCAAAATCTCCACATATGCACAGCTCTCCAAAATGCCTCCAGCAAATAAAATACTAATAAAGCATCATTGGTTCAGGGGAATCTTAAGTAATTTCTAAAATGCTAACTTTCGAAACATAAACCTGGTTGAGGAGATTAACTGAATTTAGACATATTATCAAAGAAAAACACATAAATGGAAAGCAGCAAGTAACGTGGTTTCTGCCATTTCTTACACAAACTACAATTTCATTTTGTCACAGAATTTCTTTTAGCCAGAAGCTTGTTCTTTAACCTGCATTTTTCATTTCCCTGGTGTGTGTCTGTGTGTGTCTGTCACCACTATCACATCTCTCTACGTGCGTTCATCAAGGCCTCATCATAAACCCCGTTGCAAATGCTGCCAAGTTGCGTTTAGCAATAACCTTGTCAGCATTTCTACATCACTTACTGTTTTCATCATCAGATAGATTAATGTTCCAACTATCAATGCTATTATTTAATTCATAAATTTTGTTTTGTTTTTAGGGAAAAGAGAAACATGCAAACACCAGAGTAAGTGTCTTCTTTCCTGTTATTTTTCTTTTACCATTTAATTCTCATTCTCAGTAGCTCGTCATGCTTCATACATATGTGTCATAATCTTCTTTCATTCTCTGATTCATGGTTTAATTCATAAATGTGAAAGCTGCTTTTAAATCAGAGTCTTGGCAAGGATAGAAGACCAGAATAAAAAGGGTTTGAAAATAAAGACTGTAATTCAAAATAAAATAGTGCTGTTAGAATAAATATGTTAATATGCAATTAAAACTCCTGGTTATTGGACTTTCCAACCTGTCTCTTAAAGGCAGTGAACAGGAAAAGAAATATCCTGGAAGGTATCCAGTGCATATAGTATGGAGTGTTTTAAAATTAATTTACAAGCTTTTGTGAATCTACCACAAGAATCAGGAGTTAACTAAAACTTTAACTACAGCAAATAAATGGAACATCAGCCACAAACTGCCCAGTCTTGAATCCTATGAAAAATATCTATTCAGACAGAAAAATCTAATGGAATAATTGCTGCCTAAAAAATTAAATAAATATTTATTAATTTAACTATTTGAAGGTTGTAATTGTTGCACTGTAGTCTGCAGCATGCATCAAAGTCCTTGTACGTTAATAATAATTGCAAACTTCTCTCTGTTTTGATAAAGCACCTAAAGTATGCATTCACTATTTTATTTCCTTGTGACACAGCATCCAGTTGGTGCACCACAGTGCTATACAGAAATCAACCAAAGAGCTCCGTGACATGTCCAAGAACAGAGAGATCGCGTGGCCGCTCTCCACGCTGCCTGTGTTCCACCCCGTGACGGGCGAGATCGTCCCGCCCCTGCACACGGACAGCTACGACAACACCAGCATGCCTCTGATGCAGACACAGCAGTAAGTGCCACACTCACTTCTGGCTCTTCATGCTCCCTGTAGGTTCCAGTGCTTGTCCTCCGAAATGTGTTCATTGTGGCAGGATTCAGTAATGACTCTCCAGTTCAAGATTGCTCTGGTGTTTGCATTTCCAGCAGGAAGAAAGGCCTTCTGTTGTAAGATTAAATGGCTGGCTTTCAGTCTGCAGGCTTGCAAGAGGCTTGGCATGGAACAGTTAGATTTCTGCATGTTTTGGAGAAAAACTACTTTTGACAGAGGATTCAATTAAAACTGTTCTATTTTAGACACCCTGTCTCTTGAACCATATCTTCAGGGTTCTGGTGTAAAACTAACCACCAAATTTGTGTTGGTTTTATACCAGAAAATTCAGACTTTGTAAGTGGTTAGTCATGTACCTGTCACACATGGTTTGTGTTTGAAACATTGACATTGAACAGAAGAACGTACTCCATTACACAGATAATAAATTCAGGCTTGCCAAGAAAAATGCTCATAGCTCTCTCCAGTTTCCATTGTTGCCACTCTCGTTCCAAAACAGAAACCAGAAAAATAATTAATTCCTGTTCCTTAGAGTTCATTTATCAGTAACTTAGTAAAATTAGTGAGGTAGACCAATGCTTGCACGTGTTCTAATTCAGATAACTCCACAGAGCTGTAGCAAAGAGGCATTTCTGGAAAGGTTTGGTTGAGGCGCCTGGGGCTGAGCAGGTCTGAGGCAGTGGTCTCACAAGTGGCTGGCGTTTTCCAGTGCTGTAACACCAGCTCTACTTGGTGCCTCCTCTGCAGGCCTGCATGGCCCCAGTGGTACTGGTCCTGTGCCAGCTCTAAGTCAGCTCTAATTTACACATGCTTGCCCTAAATTCCCTTCACAATGTAGATCCATGCTGCAGGAGTGTTTTCTTCTCCCTGTCCCAGAAGCTAAATTCTCCAGAAAGGAGAGTTGTATAAATTATTCCTTGTACAAGTGCTGCAAAGTGCTCTGCTCCATCTTTAACAGCTGCTTCTCTATTCAGAATAGCAGTTTTTATGACTGTGATGCCAGATCCTGTACCAAAAGCTGTCTTGAGTTGTACATAGGGTATTTATCTGCTTCACCTACATTGTAACCCTTAATTCCTTTCTGTAAAAACACCTCTATCTGGTAGCTGTTAAGATAGACACTTAAGCAGGGCACAGAAATGCAACTTTGCCTCGATAAATGAACTGGTCTGACATACAGAAGTGGCTGACTATTAATTCCACAGCCAATAACTACATTGCAAATGCTGTCACCTTTGCTGTATTCATGGAATATGGAATATTCACTTACAGAAACCAAACTTTGCTGAACTTCAGAAACCCATGGTGACTCTTGTTGCTTCTGGCATTTCACCAAGTCTGAGCCTTTGAACGTAGCTGACAAGTGGGATAATAAGAACTACTTTAGCACTAATTGTTTTTATTTCATGGTCGTGGCTAACCTTTGGACATAGTGAAAATAGATTATTGCTTCATAAGCAATAATATGAAGTGTAAATACTGAGCGTTCATCATAATACACTTCAGACTTTGTATGGAAGCATTAAAGATATTAAATGGTTTTTTATAGGAACCTGCCACATCAGACTCAGATTCCACAGCAGCAGAGTGCAGGTCAGTACTCAGAAAATACTGTAATTATTAAGTGACCAGTGTGGAGAAAACACTAGTCAAAATGTATACAGTCTGTGGACAGTGGAAATAATTTTCAAATGGAGTAAAATATTACAGAATTGTTATTCTAGAACTTTTTTTGATACATCAGTGGAAATTTTGGCATGGGATTGATTAAACAAGGAAGAAATGCTATGTTAGGGTTCTGCATGAGAGGCTGGAATTTGGTTCAGCTAACGTAGAAACCTCATATAAATTTTTTTTTGTTACGTGAAGCTACAGCCAGATTCCCAAATGCAGTTGCATGGTTTGGATTTGTCCATGGTTTGGACACTTGATAAATGTAAATTTCTAATTCCCACCAATATTAGTTAAGCTTTGAAGAAGGAGCTCTTTATTGCAGTCACTAGACAAAGTGTTGATACTGGGGAATCTGTGGTGAGGCACAGCCATGCTTCCGGTTTCCTGTGTTGTAGTCATCACTTTTGTGTCATTCTCAGAAATGCTCATGTACTGACTGAGGTCAGGCATGGCCCATCAGACTAAGGCTGACTGTCCTCTCTTCTTAGCATCTCAGGGTTGAGAAAAACCTACAGCCATAGCCATGTAAGAGGGGGTAAGGACCACACAGGGAAAAGGAAGAGGCCAAGTGTAATTTTTAAATATTCAAAGAGGTATCAAAACCAAAACTCTAGAGAGATACATATGTTTTGAACATAATATGGGAACTACAGCTCCAAGCAGAAGATTTGTTTTAACTTAGGAGTTACATAAGCAAGTCTTTCTTTTCATTGAAAATCCTTCTTCTTCATTACTGCTTTCGGGGATTAAAGGAGAATTTCGTATGACAACATTTCAAAGATTTGAGGCAAGTATATAATAGATGTTTCTCTCCATGTGGGTTTTGCTATGTGGAAATTAAAAACAGAGGTATAAAATGTCTGATAGCAGTTCTGGTAGCTTTTCTGTTTGTGTTCTTCATTGCATGTATGCTGGAAATGGTTGATGACCCTGGCAGTCAAAGCCTTGACCCAGAGCCTCCAGCACTGGGTTGACATTTATTACAGCTCTTCTCACTCACACTGTTTAGAAGGCAGAATAAAAGTGTCACACAGTGCTGCTCTTCTGCTATGACTGTTTCAAGAATTCCAGTCTGTCTTGCAGCAAATAAGATGCAAAATCACCTGGTAATACTGTACAATGACAGCAGTGAGGCATTTTTGCAAAGGTTTGAAACACAAGCTAGCACAGGTCTGTCACTTTTGAGTAGCACTGAAAAACTGCCCTAAAATTAGATCTTATTTTTATAGGAACCTGCCACATCAGACTCAGATTCCACAGCAGCAGAGTGCAGGTCAGTACTCAGAAAATACTGTAATTATTAAGTGACCAGTGTGGAGAAAACACTAGTCAAAATGTATACAGTCTGTGGACAGTGGAAATAATTTTCAAATGGAGTAAAATATTACAGAATTGTTATTCTAGAACTTTTTTTGATACATCAGTGAAAATTTTGGCATGGGATTGATTAAACAAGGAAGAAATGCTATGTTAGGGTTCTGCATGAGAGGCTGGAATTTGGTTCAGCTAACGTAGAAACCTCATATAAATTTTTTTTTGTTACGTGAAGCTACAGCCAGATTCCCAAATGCAGTTGCATGGTTTGGATTTGTCCATGGTTTGGACACTTGATAAATGTAAATTTCTAATTCCCACCAATATTAGTTAAGCTTTGAAGAAGGAGCTCTTTATTGCAGTCACTAGACAAAGTGTTGATACTGGGGAATCTGTGGTGAGGCACAGCCATGCTTCCGGTTTCCTGTGTTGTAGTCATCACTTTTGTGTCATTCTCAGAAATGCTCATGTACTGACTGAGGTCAGGCATGGCCCATCAGACTAAGGCTGACTGTCCTCTCTTCTTAGCATCTCAGGGTTGAAAAAAACCTACAGCCATAGCCATGTAAGAGGGGGTAAGGACCACACAGGGAAAAGGAAGAGGCCAAGTGTAATTTTTAAGTATTCAAAGAGGTATCAAAATCAAAACTCTAGAGAGATACATATGTTTTGAACATAATATGGGAACTACAGCTCCAAGCAGAAGATTTGTTTTAACTTAGGAGTTACATAAGCAAGTCTTTCTTTTCATTGAAAATCCTTCTTCTTCATTACTGCTTTCGGGGATTAAAGGAGAATTTCGTATGACAACATTTCAAAGATTTGAGGCAAGTATATAATAGATGTTTCTCTCCATGTGGGTTTTGCTATGTGGAAATTAAAAACAGAGGTATAAAATGTCTGATAGCAGTTCTGGTAGCTTTTCTGTTTGTGTTCTTCATTGCATGTATGCTGGAAATGGTTGATGACCCTGGCAGTCAAAGCCTTGACCCAGAGCCTCCAGCACTCATTTGGGTTGGCATTTGTTACAGCTCTTCTCACTCACACAGTTTAGAAGGCAGAATAAAAGTGTCACACAGTGCTGCTCTTCTGCTATGACTGTTTCAAGAATTCCAGTCTGTCTTGCAGCAAATAAGATGCAAAATCACCTGGTAATACTGTACAGTGACAGCAGTGAGGCATTTTTGCAAAGGTATGAAACACAAGCTAGCACAGGTCTGTCACTTTTGAGTAGCACTGAAAAACTGCCCTAAAATTAGATCTTAAAAATTCCCATGTCTGTATGTTCTGCAGTACATTATTTCTGCAGAATACAACTGTTCTTTCATATTCATCACAGATGCTGCCTGTGACAAGCTCTCAGAAATCCAGAGGGGTGGGGGGTGGAATGAATTTGGGACAGAGGATGTTTCCTCCTCTTCCCTTGCTTTATAATGACACCTTGCTTTGTAGCTCAGATGTGCAAGTGACCCTGCAAGCACTTCCCTGACATGATGGCATGTGCCTTTTGCAGCTTTTCTGAAAGGATATCCATAACTCCTGTTGCCAGAATGTTGGAATTTTAGAAAGTTGTGATTTAAAATTCAGGCTCAACTAAGAGTTTTTTAGTAGCATGACTACAAACTTAGCAATTTATTTTATTGATCTGTTCAAGTAAGAAATTCAGAGAACTAGAACACCTAAGGCCAGAAAACCTATAGATTGAGACATTAATTGTTAAATTTTCTTCATTTTCTACAGAAAACTAACAGTAATATACTCAGGGAATTTAACATCCTATCAGTCACAGCTGTGAAAAAGAAATTTCTATTTTAAATATTCAGTAGACCATATTTAGTAATTTGAAGAGCACACCATGGATAATAACTGTTTTCTACTTCAGGAACTATCTGAATCCCCAGTAAGGAATAGTTTTATTTTAACCTTATATAAAAAGGCAGACTTAATAGCTGACATAATCCTTGACTATTTCAGAAAGTTAAAATGTAATTGGGAAAGAATTGTTTGAGAGGTGACCACTCAGATCTAAAGTTTGTTACAGTGATGAAAATTGCTACTGGTATCCAATATGAACAGATAGGTTAGGTTTTAAAATTGTCTCTCTGTCAGTAGGCAGAATTCACAAGGACTGTTTAACGTGCTTGGATGAAAAAGCTTATAGGGTATTCCTGTAATATAAAAGACTAAATATTGCATGTGCACCGTGTACCACCACCTTTTGTTTTGTGCCACAGCCTCCTATGAAGTCTGTTAGATCCCAAATAGGAAAGATAAATTCCCAGTTGAACAATCTTTTCCCAGCCCTCTCCCTTCCCAGAAGAATGCTTTGTTGTGTATATGTCATCTTTCAATTCAGGTTGTACTTGTAGTGTTTCTGCAATGTGGTTGTTGATAAAGGAATAATAAATGCTATTTATGTGCAGTGCTCATAGTTCACAGTTCAGTACTGTTGAAGCATCACGTGCCACTGATGGATTATACAAATTCTCATCTCTTTGCAGGTAAATGGTATTCCTGAGGAAAGAAAACTAACAGAAGCAATGAATTTGTAATCAAAGAAGGCAGCAAATTGTCTCACTTCCTTATTTGTTCTGGTTATTGCATGAGTTTTTCTGGTGTATATTGTGCATGCCCACAGTATTATGATGGTTTCAGTGCCAGGAGTACAATCACTTCCATATAACTGATGTACTGTATCCTTTTGTACTTTGGACATTTTTGACAATTTGTAAACACTGATAACTTTTTATATTTGTTACATTCAGGAAGTAATCTTTAATGTATATATATACATACATACATACATGTATATATGTATGTATATATATGTATTAATAAATATCAAGCTTTATTCTGTCTTGTGATCTCTCCTGAAAGTTTTAACAGGAAAGTCAAAACTTCAGAGATTCAAGGGATTTCAGACTATTAATGGGATGATATAATTGCCTAACATTTGCACAGGGAAAGAAGTAGTGTGCAAGCATGAAAACTTGTGCAACATGATGAGGCTCAGAAATAGTATTGCATATATATTAGGTATTATCTTTTTAGAGATTACCAAATATAATGAGCAAAGTTATTTTTGGAAAAGAAATAAAGAAATAATGCCCTAGAGAAAGTAACTAAAACTTCTCATGATAAAAATTGGGGTTTTGTTCTTTTAACAGATATTTACACTATTTCAAAACTTGTAAGCAATAAAGCATTTAAAATCTCTCCATTCATTCACCTGGTTATGTTAGAAGAAAGTGCTACAAACTATTGTAGGCAAAAATTAATGTCTGCAAATGAGGAAGGGTTTAATTTGGTACAGTATACCTGGACTAACTCTTTAAAAACACTCTAAATTTTTTGTGGTATTCACAATAAAGAGCCCCAATGCTGTTTATTTTTTATATCCTCCACATATTTTTTTCTTTTTGGAGTGCAAACTGTTGTGGGAGAATTATGTATCCAGTAAACCAGAGATTATATTTTCACATCTTAAAAAGGACTTAATTAAAGGCATACTTTGCTGGGAAGTGGTTTCTTTGAGAGGCATTTGTCCATGCAGCTGAAAGCTTAATAATATATGGACTTTGCTAAAAGGATTTGATTTGGGGTTGCCATGTTTTTCAATAGATAACTATAATTCATCTACTGACACTTTTCACCAGCTTTTAAATGAATTTCTGATGCTTCTTTAAATCTTCAATCTAAGGACATCACACAGGACTTCAGGGTCTGCAGCTGTAACAGCTGACACCAAGAGTTCTTGGGGTTTTACCTCAAAGCATGGCATTGTTTTAAGCTGACACTTACACTTTGTCTTTTTTCTGTAATATTTTCTCTTTCAGAAGCTGTATGTTCATCAGGACATTGCATTGTAAGCAGAAAACTGCGTCTGCTTTAAAATTGCTAAATGCTGGCTACATTTCCTTAGCTGAGGTTCCTGAAGTCTCTGCTAAGAGAAATTTGAATAATTTTGGAATTTAAGACTGAAAATAAAAGGAATACGTTAAATGAGGTCATTTTGTAAAAAGACCAAAGTAGTTGCTCTTGGTTTTGTGGTTTCTGGTTTGTTTGTCTTTGTTTTTCTCTTTTTACAGTTATGACCCAGTTCTGTCAAGACACAGAACCTTAATTTACATGAATTTTTAAGCATCAATGATGTGTTTGTAGGCTTGGACCTGAATGCATTTTTTCAGCAGATAGAACAAATTCTGAGCTGCTTTTTAGACTAATTTTGAGCACCAACTATGATAACTGTGGCAGCAAAGTAGATAAGCAGTGCTCAGTACATGGTACCTACTTGTATATTGTCAAACCTCCAGTATCAGTTTACAAAGCTGCTCTGCATGCTCAGCACAGCCCACAGGATGTGGCAGCAAATCCTGCTGGTAGCTGTCAGTCCAGGAGAGGTAGCCCAAGCTGAGACATTAAAGGCAGTTCCTGAAACAGGTGGAATAAAGAGCCATTCATACTCACTTTTTGAGTGGCATCCATCATGCCTTCCTACCTCATCCAAAAGGTACCAGGAAAGAGACTTCACCAGTCAATCAGCCTCCTCAGAGACACCCCCCTTCTTTCCAGCAGCTTGGATGGTTATCAGTGAAAAGCAAATCACTAAACTGCACACTGAGGTTTATAGGAAATTAAACCTTTTCATCTCTTACCCAAGCCGTAAAAAAATTTCAAGTACAATCAGCATTTGGCTTCTATTAGTTTATGCTACTATTTTCAGATGTATCAGCTGTCAGTGTTTTGAAACCAAAATGAATGGAATGGATTTTAAATAATGATTTTTAATGCAATGTAAGATTAAACTTTGTAAATAGTTCTGGGTGTGGATTATAGTAATTTCTGATAACTACAGGATGACATGACAATCAGTGGATCTACCAGTTGAGCTGCTCCCACCTCATTTGTATTAAAGTAACAGTGTCAATATATTTAAGGAAATAAACTGTTACATACATGCATAAAGAATTAATTTGTAGCAGTGCAGGCTCCACCTATTTTGGGAAGAATCTAATCATGTAGGTCACTCAGGTATTGAGAATACCTGAACTATTTTATGATCGAAATCTTCATTTATCTGAGGTAAGTTTAATAACAAATTATTTATTTTTACTTATTAAAACAATTGCTCTGAAAGCACAGATTTATAAAGCTGGTTAAAGAAACTTAATGGCTAAAGAATTAGTAATAAGACAGTAAATTCACAGCCTCTTTTAATTATATGATGGCAATATGAATGGATATTGTACTAAGTTGCAACCAAATTAAACAGAAAGCCCTACACATCCCTTTGTACATAAACAAAATGTATAACCTAATAAAACAGAAAACACAAAGTAGTGAAGTTGTTGCCTGATTATTTTACAAAAGGGTGCCTGAACAACGTTAACTGTTGCAGCTTTTAATGTTCCAGCTACAATACTGTATGGTCAGGTCTGAGACCTGGGGTGGAGCTAATGGTGCAGGGTTTGTTTAAATGGGGACAATGCCTAAACAGATGTCCTAACGTGAGAGGAGGGAGAGGATTTGCTGCACCTGAACTATATACCTCCCTGATTATAAAATCAGGAGCTTTCAGGATCACAGAATCACAGAATATGCTGAGTTGGGAAAGGGACTCATCAAGATCATTGAGTCCAACTCCCAGCCCTGCACAGGACCATCCCCAAGGGTCACACCGTGTGCCTGAGAGCATGGTCCAAACACTTCTTGGACTCTGGCAGCTTTGGTGCTGTGACTACTTCCCTGGGGAGCCTGTTCAACCTCTGGGTGAAGAACCTTTTCCAATATCCAGCCTGAACCTCCTGCCACAACTTTAGGCCATTTCCTTGTGTTTTGTCATTGGTCACAAGATTAAAGAGATTAGTATTCCTTTCCTTTGAAGGAGCCCCTTCTACTGAGAGTGGGATTGAAGTAGCTCAAGTAGAATCTAAATTCTGTCACTCAAGCAAGTCTTCAGGATGGGCTTGGTTTCTCGATGCTGCCAGACCAAAGGAAAGCCGAGTCAGTTCCTCTGCTTTCCTGCAGAGCTCTGCTGCAGAGCTCCTGGCAGGGAAAAGCATCCAACGCCTCTGCTGCAGAGTCCTGCCGAGGGCCCCTGAGCTCCGGGCTGGCTTTGGCTGCTGGAGCTGTCATTTCATCAGAGCAGGGACAGTGCCATTTAGTGCAGAGCAATTCCTGCACTGCACGTGCCTTAGTTTGTGATACAGTGAATTGCAGCACAGCTGGAGAAAAGCAATAGAGAGTTTTTACTTAAATGATGCTGGTCCTATTACAAAAATAAGCATCCACAGCACTTTTATTTAATGTTTAAATTACTTCATATTTTTACATAACCTGAAAAGAAAATATATTTATTCCACATACAGTAATAGTAAACAAGTGCATTATTTCAAACATTAAAAATAAATCTTTTAACCAAGTCTGTACAACAGATAAATAGAGTTATATCTACAATAGTTATGTTGTGAAGAACAAAACAAGAATTATCCCTCAAGCTCACAGTTCCCTGTTGCTCATAATACTGGCATAGATGAAGGTTATGCTTGCTATCCCCCACTATGGTGTCCACCTGCACTCTCCTTCAGTCACTCACTCAAATGTATTGATCAATGAGGTTAAATTCCCAAGCATTAGAAGTAATATGCATACAGAACAAACAGCTGAGTATTTTTTCAGTATCTTGAAAACAGCTGGCAGGCTTAGTAAATCTGTTGAATTTGGGGGATGTAAATGATTTCTTTTTTGTTTTTTTTTTATGATGAATGACTGCTCATTCTTTAAAAGAACCTGTTCTCCACCACACACCAAAAAAAAAAATTGAAGTAAGTATTTTCATCAATTTCTTTTGCATCCATTCATGGCTGCAAGAGTGAATTCATTGTTTTACCTGGGACAAGAACAAAAACATGCATGTGACAGTATACATGGTACAAATTAGCATTACAAAAATAAGCATCCACAGCACTTTTATTTAATGTTTAAATTACTTCATATTTTTACATAACCTGAAAAGAAAATATATTTATTCCACATACAGTAATAGTAAACAAGTGCATTATTTCAAACATTAAAAATAAATCTTTTAACCAAGTCTGTACAACAGATAAATAGAGTTATATCTACAATAGTTATGTTGTGAAGAACAAAACAAGAATTATCCCTCAAGCTCACAGTTCCCTGTTGCTCATAATACTGGCATAGATGAAGGTTATGCTTGCTATCCCCCACTATGGTGTCCACCTGCACTCTCCTTCAGTCACTCACTCAAATGTATTGATCAATGAGGTTAAATTCCCAAGCATTAGAAGTAATATGCATACAGAACAAACAGCTGAGTATTTTTTCAGTATCTTGAAAACAGCTGGCAGGCTTAGTAAATCTGTTGAATTTGGGGGATGTAAATGATTTCTTTTTTGTTTTTTTTTTATGATGAATGACTGCTCGTTCTTTAAAAGAGCCTGTTCTCCACCACACACACAAAAAAAAAAAATTGAAGTAAGTATTTTCATCAATTTCTTTTGCATCCATTCATGGCTGCAAGAGTGAATTCATTGTTTTACCTGGGACAAGAACAAAAACATGCATGTGACAGTATACATGGTACAAATTAGGATTCATGTTGTTCATAATCATACATAATTGCACATATGCTTGGAAAATAATATTGCTGTCATGTTTTTGACTGCTAACAAATAATCAGAAAAATAATAAAATGAAAAGGCAATTAGAGGTCAAACTATTACTTGAACAAAACCCACAACCAACCAAGAAATGTCCATAACTTCACTGATTAGTAGAATGTAAACAACAGCTTGCCACTGCCACACTGAAGGACTGTTTCTTTCAATTTTAAGGTTTTTGCTAAAGGAAAAAAAATAGTAAGGAAGACTGGGAACTCCTGAAAAGGATGGGAAAAAAGTTTTCTCCAAACAGCTCCAATCTCATTTCACTTGTATTTCTGAGACTCAACCATCTGCATGCAGCAAAGTTGACCACTCAATCCCTGTTCCTCTTGATACCATCAGACTGACTTGCATCCTCTTAAATTATAATGTTATTACAGCACAGAATATGGCACTAGTTCCCTAGTGAGACCTAATTCAAGGTCACCTACAAACACAGGGAGAAGGTCAAAGATCACTGTTCCCCTAAGATCTGATGGAGTGGATATAATGGAATTCCATCTGACTGAAAAAGGTTGGAGGGTCTTCCACAAATTTCCCATCTTGAACTGAGTCTGAATTTTCATTTGTTTGTTCGCTGGGATTGTACACAGAACTACACACAGTTAAATGAATTAGTGAAAAATTTATGAAAAAACAAACAATTTTAGGAAGAAAACCCAAATTCTCTTTATAAAAAAATTTCGACTCTGAATTCACCATTTTTGTTGAACACATCTTAAATTTCTAAAAAAACCCTCATAAAGTATTATGTAAACTTGTATATAATCTTCAACCACTGAATTGATGATTACTTTCTGTTTCCACATACCAAGGGTTTCATCTAACGTGTATTACTATTCCACCCCAAACACTAACTCCTGACCAGCAAGCTGCCGCTTTGTTCCGAGCCCTGCCCGGTGCGGCGGCTCCCGAGGCTGGCGGCTGCGCTGGCTGCGCTCCCCGCCGAGCAGAGCAGAGCAGGGCAGGGCAGTGCGTGCTCCGTGCGGCGGGCGCTGCCACAGCAGGAGCAGCGCAGCTCCTCGCCCTGGGCTCGCCCAGCGCCGGCTGAATCCCGTGATGTGCCCATGATACTGCTCAACCACCGCACTGCTTCGTGTCTCGTTTCAACAGATATGTAAACAGAAACAAACATCCAGTAGAAAGGACTCATTTTCACATGCAATTCTGTACAGTGCACTCTTGTTTCTCAGATTATTTGAGAAGGCTATTTCCACGCAAAATATGTACATTTCCACTATATACATTTTCCACACGCTTAATTTAAATGTCTTCTTGTACCTCCAGTTGAGAATTTTTGTTCAGGCAGACACAAAGTAAACCTGAAGAAAGTTTCCAAGTTAATG